AGCCTTTAGCAAGATGTTGCAATGTTGCATCCCCGTTCACAGGAGGACAACATGCCATTTCCTGTAGAGTGAGAAGCTGCCTCCCAGGCAAATGCTTATATACATGCTGGCTCATGCGTAGCTGTATGGGGAAGCCTGCGCGCATCTGATGAACTGTGTGAGATACCTTGCATTCTGTTAGGTTCGAATTGTAAGCAAATTGTGCACCGCAAAAAGGCAATGACACGACGGACCAATGTGGACTGCCTTGCAATAGATGGTACAAAACCCATGTATGACACGGATTTCCAAAACCTCAGGAGTACTTGTACGCCAGAAAGTCATAAACAGTTGCAGCATGAATGAATGCAGAAAACGAAGGGGGTATCGGCGCACATCTTCTTCTGAATAAATTAGGTTTGCAAGGTGAGTGTACTCCTAGTTCTGCTACCTAACAATGCCCAAAACGCTTGCTCATAGCACGTGTGAGTAGCATGAGAAGCACAAGAGGATGATTGCAGCATGGCCTTGCAAAACAAACGTTGCCCACTTCAGTTTGAGGTCTAGGTGTTAGGGCTTGAAATGCGAGTGCTTTCTCCAACACGTCTGTGGAAGTTCTTTTGCAAGACATAGCTTTGGAGCAATCTGCAGGAGGGTGGTAAGCATAAGGCGGGTATTCTTTATGATGTTCTCATGACAACTTGCTGGTGAGAGTAGTACAGAGTAAACCCTAAACCCAAGGCCTATGGGAGACGAACTGCCTTGGAACTACCCGCAAGTAATGGTCTAATGTAGACCCTGACTAACAACCCTCTCCCCTCACTGGCGATTATAATAGGGATCCTAATATATAATAAGGATCCTAATATTACCCCTAAACCCTAAACCCTAAGCCCTTAAAAAGGGGGGTTATTCGTCACGGGTCTACGTTACCAGGATCTACCAGGCATACAGCAAAGCTTTTAGTGGCGGACCCGGCATGCTGTGTGGGTTGAAGGTAATAATTGCTTGAGGGTTTAAGGGATTAGGGTCTTTAGGGTTTAGGGTCTTTAGTGTTTAGGGTTTGGGGTTTAGGGTCTTCAGAGTTTAGGTGCTTAGCTACCTACAAGTACCACTTGCTTCCAAAAAGAACACACCTTCGTAGCAACATCCCAAACCAAAGCAAGCAACCTAAAAACCCGAACCCCAGCACTCTAACCAAGCCCGACAATCCGGCCCCAAATCCCAGCACTTCAAATCCTGAAGCCCTTACCCTTAACCCTAGACCCTGCCCCCCTTAACCCTTAACCTTAAACCAAAACCCCAATCCCCCAAACCCTAAACCTTACTGGGGTCTAGTAGGGAAGAAGGGAGTACATTATATATGGACTACACAAGGATTCTATTCCCCTATTCGCTACTAAGCATCAGTAAGAAACAAACTTGATTCAGCAAATCCCGACATGCAGATGCGCTGGCTGGCGCGCCGAGGTTGCCGCAGCATTCAGCTAGGCTTTAGGGTTTAGGGCTTAGAGTTTACAATCGCTACCATCCCAGAGTGTCCAAGTACCCAATAATTGGGTACTTCGGATTAAGGTAATAATAATTATGGTATAAGTTTTTGGTAAATATATGTTTGTTAAGTACTTGGATCCTGGGGTACCCTCCCTGAAACTAGCCTATAGGGTCTAGGGTATGGGGTTTAGGGCTTAAGGATTTTGAGTTTGGGACGCAGGGGTACATGTTGATACTAAAAGCTCTGCACCACCGTTAGTATGCTTAGCTGCCGTGAGTCTAACAGTAGAATATACTCAGGATCATGCAGGATCTATAGTCCCCCTTATGTAGATAGAATATGGCTTCGGGTATATTATCATAAGATCCCCAGAAACCCACATTCCATCTACTTGAGGGGGACTATGTATTGGAGACCGTACCCTCCCTCAAAACTAAGAGGGTAAGGCTGATATTAACTATAGTCTAAACGCCTAGTATCCCCCTTATAACCCCTATAGTAGTCCCCTGCGCAATCCCCTTTTTAACCTCCTTTCAGTGGTTTAGACTACATCTCATTTGGGCCTAAGTACCCGCTGTTTGGGGCCCTACAAATCCAATTAAGGGTACTCGGAGGTTCCTGGTTTGAAAGGACAGGGTTTAGGGGTTAGGGCTGAGGTTTCAGGGCTTAGGGCTTGGGTCTAGGCCTATATGAAAATGCAGGACAGTCATAATTTGAAAGTTGTTTGTCTGGTAAGGTATGCCCTTTGGCGCTTAGCAGTGTCTATAAACAAGAAGCACGAGGATCTAGGATGGTGTACGTCAGCAGGAATCATCTTGATCTTGTTACTTCAAACATCTTCAAACTGCATACACTTCCGAATCTGGTCCTACAAAACAACTACTGATTGCTTCCTATAACCGAAACCTGCGAACACCATGCACAGGTTTCCGGAGAATGCTGTGGAATGCGTGAGACTCGACGCAGCCACATCAGAGGCGCTCCGGAACGCGAGTTTGCTCGCAAATGGCTCCTGAAAACGCAAAGCTTGGCTTACTACAGACACAACCATAGTAATCCAGCCCTCTTTGCGATGCTGCCTGTGGCTTCGAAAAAACCCTGATCCAAGCCCTTACAACATCTTTACACGGCCGAGCTTTGCAAGACTTAGCTCTTACCATCTTCTGCGGATGAAGTTTTAAAAAGGGCGGCTCAGCGGCATGCATGGAAATGAGGAGGAGCATTGCAGCACATAATTACCACCATTCTTCTTTCTTCTCTGCGGCCATTAGTAGTCCTACTACTGAGAAGGAGTACTTGCATTGCATGTGAGGAGCATTTTGAGATACCACCACCTTTGAGCACCTGCTTGGCCTTCCAGTCCGACTCCTCCGCAGACACAGTCTCAGTTCACGCTACTACTGTGCCTTGTCAGCGCGGGAGACTTCCCTTGGACAGGTACCTTGGGTTTGGGGTTTAAGCCTTGAAGAAATTCCAATGACAGGGATTACCCACTTCTACTGGACGGGTAACGCTACTGCTACTACTTCCACTCTGTCTACTTCCACTACTGCTGCTGCTGTTCATATCATAATCATCCAACTTATGGGCAACCTAAAGCCCAAAAAAAAACAAACCCCAAGCCCTAAACCCTAAACCCCTAAAACCCTAAGAACCCTCAGCACCCTGAACCCTGAAAGCATGTCCTCACTTCTGGCACCCACAAAGCTGGGCACAATACTGGCCGACCTTCAAGGGCTTAGTGGCTTGGGCTGGGTGGGATTCAGGGTTTAGAATTAAAGTCTTCGAGTAGGGTTTAGGATTTAGGATTTAGGCTTCAGTCGGGTAGGATTTAGGATTTAGGCTTTGCGGTTTGGGGTTTAGGGTTCTCGAGGGCTGGGTGGGAATGAGCAGCTTCAATTTCAGTGTCCAAGGGTACAAGGATGCTAACATGTTGCTTTTTGCTATCAAAACCTTAGGTTCTGGTATGAATTCGAGAGTACGGCATCCAACACCGGACACCATCGTAGTTGTGCACTGCGCCCCATAGAGTTAGGTTTCAGCGGTTTGGAAATAGGCTCCTATAAGTGTTAGGCTGACAGATTGTGAGGGAGTCTTCCAGAAATCTACTGACTCTGGCTAGAGGAAATCATGCACCACCTTACATGCCTTACGCACTTTGAGCTACAGTACTATGGGTTCCTGAGTGGTGCACAAATACCTTCATCTACTGTAGTGTTGCTGACCTATAGACGCGAAACAGTGGGGAGCCATGGTAGTTCCGTACCTGCATGGTCAGGCAGGACTGTCTACAAGGGTACAGATAAGCATATTCTAGATACTTTGCTTCAAAGCGGCTCCTAAGTATGTATATTCTGACCCCAGTGGCCCCAAATATACACGAGTTGCTACATGGGCGTTGCCCAAACTTACCTTCACAAGAAAATGACCCCTTCGCGGAAATCCAAAGTTNNACCCCATCGCGAGCTTTCGCGGAAGCATGTTTGAAGCAAAAAGCAAAGCCCTGAACTCTTAAAGGGGCCCACCAAGTCCAAAATAATAGCTAGGATCTCCATTTAAGGAAGAGACATGTATTGTAAAGCAAGTAAGGGAGCTATAGCTTACGATACTCCTTTCGCGAAATCCAAAGTTCCTTTTGCGCGCACCATCGCCACCTTTCGCAGAAGGTCTTTTAAGCCATCCGTGGTCGTTTTATATAAAAATGCCTTCATGGGGTTTTCAGGCGATGCCCACATACAGGTAACAAATGAAACGGGTAAACAAGTTATGGGGAATATGCGAAGATGGAGAATGAAGTGTGCCCCGTTAAGGGACTTCAGAGCATGTTATTGACCAACACTCTGACGACGTTGTTTTTGCCATCGCCTGATGTTGGTCAGAATGCTCCACATGGTCTTACAGTTGCATCGATCCCCAAACGGTAAACCCTAAACCGCGCCCTTCATACTAATATTACAACCCCCCCGCCCCCCCGCCCCCCCCCCCCCGTACACAAAAACAGAGCCGATTACTCCACAATCGGGATCGTGCAGTCTGGGAGGGGGTAGGGGGTGGGTTAAACTACTTTCCTAGTCCCCGAAGCTGGATCTAAGCGCCCCAGGCCTCGGGCCTCGGCGGATAACTTTATTGAGCGATAGGATAGCAGAAGCCGATGGGTACCGATGAGGAAGTGCACAGGAGCACACTTGATGGGCGCAAGAAGGTTTGTTCACGGGCACAGTTTAGCGGCGAATGCATTCACAAGATCTTCTCCACAATGCAGCCAGTAAAGGCACCACCTCTCCTTTGTTCGGCAGTCCCTCAATGTCCTGCTTTGTGAAGTATGCGTGTGTTGGGAGCCTGCTTGCCAATGGATTTGGCTGAAAGTGTGTTTCTCAGTTGTTTCTTCAATCATGAAATTCCAGTTGGTATAGTTAACTCACAGTCTTGGGATGCAGACTTTGTGACTGCCGCCTGACTTCTAAACCCTAAACCATGTGGCAAGTGAGATGTTTCTCAACTCGTAGTCCTGGCGGTGGGTGTGGAGGTGAACCTTCTGACGCTGTCCTCCATTCGCAGAGTGCTGGATGATCGGGTGCTGACATGTCTAGAGAAAGAGAACTTGGCAGGAGTCTCTTGCACGCTTTGTCGCTGACATTTTCGACTGTGTAGGCTGAAAAGTGATGGGGTACTCAGTCTACTTAACGGTATGTTACCGAGAAAACGAACACTGAAGATCACTGGAGGGTCCTGTCCCTCAGCGAGCCGCAGCGAGCCTCAGCAAGCACCAGGAGCGGCCTGGTTGAGCAAGGCGAACTTGATGATGTTCCAATGTGCCTTAGTCTCCAAACTGGCCTGACAATTTGATGCTGACATGGGCTACATGAAGCAACAACACATCTCCTCTTCAACTTGACAAAGCTGCTGGAGGCATCTTGTCTGGTCTTCCACGCACCTGCAGCTACCTTGCGAAGATGCTCCCCTTCGAGAAGTTGAAGGCTTTCACAGAGGCAGGCTCTTTGGCGGCTTCGTCATTGAAACCGTGCATGCTGCCTGAACGCTCCAGCAGGAGGATGCTAGAATCTTTGAAGAACAGAGGGAGGCTCAGCTTCTCGGCTTCCAGATGGCTTTCTTTGAGATCAAGCAGATGTTGTCTGTGACGGCTACGGCCCAAGCCGAAGGCATCTCTCTGGAAGGGGCTATGCTCGAAAGTCACATCTCTCTGTCCTTGGTCTCACTGGCTTTCGGCGACAGTGGACCCATGTGTGGCGTGGCTGAGAGAAATTCAACAGTGTCTATTGCGCATGAAGGGCTCGGAATCGATTCTTCGTAAGCTTTGAGCACTCAGGATCGGGCGGAATGCGCTGCAGTTGGCAGTCTGGATGGGTGATGCAGATGCTTGATGCAAGCTAATCAGGTTTAGGCCGTCACTCACCAAACATCTCCCACGATCAGCTCAAGCAAGTGTTTGATTTGCCTCCGAACGCCCAACTCGAAGCTTGTATGAATTCCAGGACATCCTGCAAAGCCTTTCTCCCATGTCGGAGACGATAGATGCCGAGGGACGGACGGTCCTGGACTATGTGCGACCTTTGGCTTCAACCTTCTGAATTTTTCGGCTTTGGCTTGCTGGAGAAGAGTGATCTGACAGTTAGTTTGTGAATCTAGCAATTTAGACATGCCACAGTCTCGTTCAATGTTACCTGAACTGAAGCATGCTGCAAGGGGCGCTGGGGTCACCGGTGCTAAAGCTGGCACTGCCAAAGCAAAGCCTGCCGCGGCCGCGCTCGCAGCAGACGCTGCGCTGCGATGGCCAGGAGCAGACTTGGAAGGGACAGCAAACGCTCTCTGATATTCTTTGTTGTGGAGCGCCGTTGCCTTGCACTAGGGCGGGAGTCTGAGTGCTGCCACCGACAGTGGACGGGGGTCGGAGTTTGTTCCACGAGAGGCATAAAGAGACTGCCCCGACTGCACAGGACTTTTCATCTGCCACACATCTGGGGTGGACGGAAGCAACGACCTGGCCACACTATGAAGCCTGCGTGCCTTGGATCAAACGCGGTCTTGCAGGCTTAAGCCTCGGACCCTTGAGGGGGAAACTCAAGAGCTTGCAAGGATTTCGAGGTGGTGGACAGCCTCACAGAGGAGGAGCTGAGGTCCAGGTTCGTGGACATGGGCCGACCCTGGGCCCAATTGGAGTCCCTGTTTTTGGTATTCGACCTTTCGGGACCAGATTCGCTGCGAGCTGACAAGGTTTGTATCAGCATTTTGGATGCCCTATCCAACCCTCAGGGCGATCCGTAACACTACCCTTCAAATGAGCAGCCCGCACCCAAGCCCTGGTGCCTGGAGGCCCTGTGCTCGTTCGAAATTTTGCTGCTGTGGAAGACCGCTGCGCGTTGGCCAAGAGCAGGGTCATGCAGGCTTCTATCACAACTGACTGCAGCCGTAGGATGCCAGCTCAAATCGGAAATTGAGGGGTATGAAGCGCTCTGTCTTTGCAGGAGCATCGCTTCGAGCGGTTCAACCTAGGGCCCATCGCGTATCCTCAGCTGATTGGGGCCAAGCCCTGTGAGAAGACCTTCACTGTGGAGGAAGCCGAGCAGGGGGCCAGGTGTTTCAGGCAAGACGTTGCTCCGGTGTAGGAATGTTTAGGACCTCTGCTCAAGAAATGGTTCAAAACATGTGATGTGAAGTCAGGGCTTGGGGAATGTAGTTGAGAAGCAATAACAAGAGGTGAACGTATGCAGAAACACTAGTTCAGAAAACGGGCCGGTGATCGACCATGAATGTGTATGGTTCGTGCTGTGTGTGCGACACCACCTAAAGGGTTTGCAAAAGCACTTTGCCTGTGGACGCTTTTCATGAAGCTCATGTCATGCCACTATTCTGTTGTCGCAAGCGCGCGGAAGCACTTTGAGCAACACAATCCGTGGAAAGGTCCTTGGAAGCAAGTCCTGAAAATGTGGGTCAAGAGTCTTGGGAATAATCGCGGAAGCACGAAGGCGGAAAGATTCAGAAGAATTAAACCGACAACTGTTCAGCTATTCGGTTCTGAGAGTCAGTACTCGAAAACGGAAAAAAACTGCCGCTGCCCAGCATCTAGATCAATTCATCCGTCAAGCGATTCAAAATCCCAGGGGTGAGGCAGAAAGCTTCACAGTCATCATCGAGAGCATCGCCAGCAAGCTTACAACGCAGAAAAATGCCTTTTGATCATCTCGCACAAGTTGTTCAAGGGTGTCATTGGCCAGCCTGTCTTGCTTGGGGGGTGAAGAGAAATGGAGGGAGAGAGAGAGAGGCCAAGAAAGAGGTAAAGCCATTTTGGCTCAAGCCACGAGCCTCAAGCCCTCCAACACTCTGGGAGCCCTGTAGTCCACTCCTCCCACTCCCAGTGCTTGGACGGGCTTTAGGAAACATCTGTGCTTCGCGTCTCCACCCTGAGCAATCTTCACCTTGGGCAAGTTTGAAACGCTACGCGCCTACACCGTGCACCTTCTGCTCACCTTTGCCTACCAGATCACTCCTGAAGGGTGTCAGGTGCTGCACGACCCGGTCCTACAGTACCCGCGAGGCAACTTTCACCTCACCAACTAGGTCCACGGTTCATATTCCGCCGTGGTACGAAAGGCATTTGAAGCCCAACAGAAATGCAGCAAGAAGGCCGTTCGCTTGGAAATTACCAGTCTTTTCTGTATACCTGAGGAAAATGCACGATTTTAGGGCATTTTGGGTGCAGAAAACGCGTTTCGTATTGTAAAATACAATACGAACTCTGCTTTTTGGAACGTTGCGAACTACTTTAGTTTGTCTAGGATAACATGGAAATTCCCAAGCGAAACGGAGTGTTTCGCTGCGCTCGCAGACTGTCAGAGCCGTCCTTCGAGGGCCTAAACCCCAGACCCTAAATCCAAAACCGTTAAACCCTAAATCCAAAACCTCTAAACCCTAAGGCCTAAATCCAAACCCCCAAACCCCAAACCCTAAATCCAAACCCCCCTAAATTCAAATCCCCTAAACCAAAACCCTAAACCCTTAAACCCTAAAGCCAAAACCTCTAAATCCGTAAACCCTAAACCCTAAATCCTAATAACCCCCCTAAACCCCGAAACGTCCTAAACCCTAAGCCCCTAAACCCTGAACCCTGAACCCAAAACCTTCAAACTCTAAACCTTAAATGCAAACCTCCTAAACTTCAAACCCTAAATCCAAAACCCTAAATTGTAAAACCTAAAACCAAAATCCAAGACCCCTAAACCCTAAATCCCAGACCGCTAAACCCTAAATCCCTAAACCCTAGATCCAAAACACTTAAACCCTAAACCCCAAAGCCCTTCACCCTAAACCCCCAAACCGAAGGGCACTGTACCCTTTTCCTTGTGGGGTACATCAAACCAGTGCTTCGGCAGGCGCAAAAGTCCGTTGGTTTCCAAAAAGAACACCAAACCGCCCTAAACCCTAAATTTCAAACCCCTAAACCCTCAACCCAAAACCCTAGACCCAAAGCCTTAAATCCAAACCCCTTAGACTGTACACCCTAAACCCAAAATCCAAAACCCCTAAACCCTAAATCCAAAAGCCCCCAACGCTAAATCCTAAATCCAAGACCCGTAAACCCTAAACCCCTAAACCCTAAATCCAAAACCCCTAAACCCTAAACCGAAAACCCAAAACCCCCAACCCTACGCATTAAATCCAAGACCCCTAAACCCTAAATCCCAAACCCCTGAACTTTAAAACCTAAATCCAAAGCCCCCTAAACCCTAAACCACCCTGAACCCCAAACCCTAAATCCAAAACCTTAAACCCTAAATCCCAAACCCCTAAAGCCTATATCCAAAACCCCTAAACCCTAAGGCTTAAATCCAAAACCCACAGAAACCCAAACCCTAAATCCCAACCCCTTAAACCTTAAAACCAAACCCCCTAAACCCGTAAACCTTAAACCCTAAATCCTAACCCCCTAAAACCTAACTCGAACCCCCCTAAACCCTAAACCTTAAATCCAAATCCCCTAAACCCACATTCCAAAACCCCTAAACCCTCAATGCAAAGCGCTTAAGCCCCAAATCCAAAACCCCTAAACCCTAAACCCTAGATGGAAGACCCTTAAACCCTAAATCCAAGACCCCTAAACCCTAAACCCCACACCCGACAGCCCTGGACCGTAGTTCCTAAATCCAAAGCCCTTGAACCCAAAACCCTAAACCCTAAACCCCTAAACCCCAAACCCTAAGGCCCAAAACCCCAAACCCAAAACACCCAAACCCTAAATCCTACATCCAAAACCCCCAAACCCTAAATCCTCCCAGAATCGTGATTTGGCTAAGCAACCCGCTTTTTTGGTTGGCTTAAACACCCTAGGGCGCACACCTTTCCCGCAGGACAGCATCTTGGATTGGCTAAGTGACCTGCGTTTTTGTTGGCTAAGTGAGCCAAAGCAGTGCGGGTTCCGGACTTGCTAAGTGACCCGCGTTTTCGTTGGCTAAGTGACCCTTGGCCGTTCACGTGGGAGCGCAACAGATCTGAGGTGATTCCCGGCAGCTGTTAGTTGAGAGGTGATTTGCCGGACCTCAAATGCACACTCACAACCTGCATATCGGATGCGTGGCAGCCATTGAGAGCTCCCCTGTTTGTTAATGGCATGGGTATTCATACTGATTTGGTGTTTAGCCTTTGTTGTAATATTGTAAAGGGGCATACCTGCTGAGTGCCGCTTAGCATCAGGATGTTTCACGCCCCAGTTGAGTGGGACGGAAGTTGATAACAGGGGCATTTGGTAAGTGATGATAGATTTTATGCTTTCTCGAATGATGTCTTGCTGCAGTGGAGTACTGACAGTACGTCGTTCGTCCTGGGTGGGACCGAAAACAGGCATCGGGCTGAGGGCAATGCTTTCGAGGGCATCCACGGATGTCCTTATAGCCCTGAAGAAAAAAAGGGACACAAAGTAGTGTCGAATGGAAACACTTCAATCCCAAATGTAAGCACTCCAGCGCTCGCTGTCCCGATTTGACCTGGACTTCGCAGGGGCTATGGGGTTCGCCCCGACCTTTTTTTGAAGGTAGTAGAGCCTGTAGAAGAAGAGAGAGAGAGGCACAACGAAGAAGATGGGCTTTGATGCTCGGGCTGGTCCGGTGATCGTTATGCCGTTCCTACAGCGAGGATTCTGTTGGAGGTTCGCCCTTGCAAGGCTTTCGGGCATTGCGTAGCCTGTAGAAGAAAAAAAGAGACAACGCCCGAAGGAAAAACTAAAGAAAGAAAGATCGATACACACACATGTCATGAAATATATCAGGAGTAAAAAGTAGAAGAGCGAGAAGAGAGATACGGGGAAAGATCAAAGTTGATAGTAGAATGCAGAATGGAGTCCCGGATGTTGGATTGTCATGTCGCATCAGACTTCACACGTTCAGGTGTTTTTGGTTGTATGTTCTTGTCATGCATGCTTTGTTTTGAAGAAGAAGGGGACCGCGTCCCGTATGGAAATAGGTTCTGTCAAACGCTGCAAAAAGGAAGCATTTGTTACAGGGGGGAACCCTCTCCATTCTTGACTCAGCGAGCTAGCAAGTGCCTCGCGTGGCTGTTGCGAATACGAGCGATGAGCCGAATGTGCACCTGCCAGTCAGCAATGGTTCGCAAACTTTAGCATGCATGAAAACAGCGAACAGACACGCGAAGACTGTGTGGATGATTTGCCCGCAATGAGTGTCACCAGCAGGGAAACATACAAAGGGAATAAGTCCGAAAAATCCACATTGATGCTGTTTTTTTGAAAGAGAGGTTTCCCATTCAAAAAACAAAGCCAAGCTTGCAATTTTTGGCATCTGAGAGTCCGCGTTGCGCGACCAGATCCTCGAACAAGGGTTTGGAAAGCTTGGCATGGTTAGAAGAAGTAGGCAATCTTGGGTTGTGTGCATTCCGTTGAATGGCCTGCCTTGCTTTGCTTGTCGCAGAGGCATGGCAACACGTCGAACTACTATGCTTCGCACTCGCCAGGCGCCGGCGACTTGTTGTGAGACCATGTGACTGCTGCCAACGAAGTAGGATGTCAATCCGGAATGTTTGACGGCATTCGCAGCCGGAGGCATTTTCTCGAAGCAGCTGACGGAGACGGAGACCTTCGCGAAGGTCAAAAAGCTGATTCCTCGCATCAACCAGATGTCCAAGCAGTACTTCTGGGGCGGCGACCGCAGTGGTGCAGCACTGCACTACCATGTGGCTGCTTTTAACGTGCTCTTCATCGGGGAGAAGGAGTGGTACGTGCCCGAAGCTCAGAAGTTCAGGTTTAGTTGCAGCATGCATTGGATTCAAAACTGCATGCTCACAACGTTAGCTCCTGCCCCGCCAAGTGTGCTTCCAATTTTCCAAGCATGTTTTCAACATTGGAGGCTTGAGCTACCTTAGTCTGAGGACACCACCTTACCTTGCTGCCAGATCTGGCATTCCGACATATGAGCTGTTCGACAGGTGCCTGGGTAGTTCATAGTGCCACTTCTTTCAGCAACCGATGCCATCCCTCTAGTCTGGCTGACATGATGTCTCCACGCCCAAGGTCAGGTATTTCCATGGACCACATCTTTCGGTGTCTGGGTCGCTGCAGAGGGTTGCTTGGGGACTCGAGATAGGGAATACGCAGCCAATCAAAAGCAGATTTGCAAGACAGCATGAGCAGGGAAGCTCTGGTCGTTTGTGGCGCTGATGCATTTGTCTCTGACCCATGTTTGAGTCAGGCTTGTGATTTGCAGAGGCAAGCATTGCCAACAACTGTCGCAAGAGCTGTTGTTTTGGGAGAGAAATTTGTGTCAATGCACCCAAAAATCAACTGCACACACCGCCACTACCTTTACAGCATTCTGCTGCATAACCATGCACAGGCATGGCATGCCATGTCATTGCAAAACCTCGGCAGACCATCATCATCAAGTCCGGGCCGGGGAAGAGAGACCTGCTAGTGCTGGAAGGATGTAACGTTTCTTGGGATAGCAGGCTGCAGCAAATCCAAGGTGCACCCAGTACGCCGGTGATCTTGTTCTTCTTCCAGATGGCTGGGGGCACGCCACTCTGAACCATGGCTTCGGTGTGGGCATTGGAGTTCTTTACAATCTGCAAAAGTGATGGCTTTCTGCACCTCCCAAAGCGGATGTTCCGTGAGCCTGCGGCCTTCTGGCCATTGGCAACCGTTGGTGTGCTCTTCAAGGAGCATGCCAGCTGGTGTCCAGGTTAATGTACAGACAGCAAGGGTTTTAGCGCTCTCGCTGGGGTAGGATTAGTTTCGCAGAGCCTGCAGCTCTGCAAACAGAGGGTGACTTTTTGAGCCTGGCCAACCTCTGTACGGGATGCCGAGTGGAACCCACTGCGACTAAGGCACTCATGGCTGCCGTCGACACAGTCCTTGCCTACACCTCGGACTAGTGTAAGTGCATTAGAGGTGCATCTCTCATGATGTCGTTTTCGTGGCAACACTCAACCTTTACATGTGGCATACGTGTCGCTGCGTTCTTGTTCTTATGGTCGTGTTGGTCCCGTTCTGTCATTCCTGAGCTGTGGGCTTGCTTGATCTCTCGTGTGAGAGGGTTTCGACGGCCAGATACCTGTGTTTATCCAAGGCCTCTGCGGAGTCCCGCCGCCGTGGCCGCTTCTCCGAGCTCTTGGCTGTGAAGGTGGGAAGCGGCAGATTGTTGCCCTCTCAAAATGTGGTGGGCGCCCCTCCTGCGCCCGAAGGCCGACCCTGCAGAGTCCACCAGCGAGGGTGAGCGCAGCGAGAGCGACAGCCGTGAGGCGATGACACCAGAGGCACATGTAATGCGCACTTAGTGCTTCTGCAGATTGGACATGTTTGGACTTTCAAGCTCCTGATGTCTTAGCCCTTGCGGCGGTGTCAGGCGACTTTGACGGACTGCGAAGGCTCGTCCCTGCCAAGAGCGAAGCAGCCAGATGCTGTCTACAACCGCTCTGAATGCGGAGATGCCCTGTTGCCTTAGCGGTATGGTGGAGGTTGCTACATGGGCATCTGAGGACAAGTTGTTATTGGCTCATCCTGATCTAAAACCTGCAGAGGCACGCTGCCGTCAAAGGATGAGGGGCCGAATGAGGAAGAGAAGGACAGAATCGTTTGCTCACGTGGTAGAGCCACTGTTTTCGCCAAGTTTACACAGAAGAGGGCATCGATGCATTGCAAAGCGACAGCGGGAAAGGCAGTGCAGTCTGTCACGGTCCATTGATACGACCAAAAGATAGTTTGTGGCCAGCACTTCTTCGTGATAGGAAGCAGGCGAAGCATTGGAAAAGCAGGCAGCCGATCTGGCGCCAGCCATTGCTATGCCAGTGGCCAGGAAGCTCTGCGCCTCTATGAAGCCAAGTTCGCGGAGAACCGCGATGGCAGCTACAAAGGCAGGCTACCAGAAATGACTGATGAAGAGAATTGGCTCCCTGATTCAGAGCAGTCAGCAAGCCACAAAGCACACTTTGTAGCTGCAGTCCTAGCTAAGACTTACCTTGTGCCAGGCTACGAGAGGTCGCTTGGATAGCACGGTTGTCCAGTTTTGATTGTTCTTGCATAGAGGAAGTTTCGGAAATGCAAACAACACCCATGCTGAAACTTTGAAAGCTTCCAAGCATTCCTGGCCAAGCAATCCTCACAGCTTGCCACATTGGCCGTTGCCAAGGAAAGCCTTCCCGTGGTTCACCCCGGCAGCACGTGGCGAGGCCCCGGGCACTTGGCTGCGGACTGCTATGCCTTTGCAGTGCCTCTGGCCTTGATGCTCGACAGGTGGCCCCCAAGGATTTCCTGACGCGCGCCATGTCTGAGAAGGAGGCTACCAGGCCGCGCCCGAAGAAGGAGTTCGCCGCTCGGATGTATGTCATGGATGGCCCACATGAAGGCATATGGCACCTTCTCGGCCAAGAAGCTAGCCATAACTAGCCCTGTCAACACGGAAGTTGGGAGGCTCCCGATACTTGTTTCCTGCCATGGTGGTCGCGGAAATGCAGCTCTCCTTCTGATTCGGGGGCAGCAATGTTCTAAAGTCTTTCTCGATTCTCGTAGAAGAGCCTTGAACACAGTATGTCCCTTCTTAAGTTTCTTACTGCATGCTGTCCCTGCTTGAGCTGGCTGTACAGCTGACACGTCCGAGACGCACATCTTTCTCCCAACAGCTGAAACGGCTGAGGCACGAAGTTGAACAATGCAAGTGTAAATGTAGCCTGCCGTTGCAAGGAAGTGGACTCCGACGGAGAGGAAGTGCAGCTCTGCAGCCAGTGCCCAGACTGTCAGAATGGTCTGTTGCGAGCATTTGCTTGTTCATCCAAGATTACGACGAAGGTCTTCTTCTAACCCTTCTGCAATTGAATTCACCGGGCTCCTCACTCCACTGCCATTGGCCGGTTCCGCGTAGTCTCCCATCAACATACGATCTCAGGTGCGGCCTGCCCATGGGGGAGACGGCCTACCGCCCCGAAGAGAAGGCTGGGAGATTGTACTGTACTCTTGCAGAAGCTGCCACTAAACTCGCGGGTTCAGGTTCAAAACAGGGTGTCCTGAGAGCTATTGGGGCTCAGTGACCTTTGCTCTCTCTCTCTCTCTCTCTCTGTCTCTCTGTGCCGGGGTTTGCCACATGTGGGCGCATCATCAGTGAGGTGTGGTTTGCGTTTGGTATGCTCTGGGGCCTGTGCGCCGTACACATCCGTACGCACGGTGCGCGCTGCGGGAGTTGGGCTCAGAGTTTGAACATTGGGTTTGGTTTGAGAGTCCCCCCCCCTGATGTTCAACCGTTTCTCGTATTCCTGTCGCCATCAAGCTTTCACAATGAAAACTCCTCTTGTTGGCGATTCCCACCAAGGGGTTTGCAGCTTTAGTTAGAACATTGACTAACATATTGACTCTTCGGGAGTTGTATTCATTGGAAGTGATTAGGTATCCCAAGCTCGACCGCAGTCTGAATCAGGGCTACAAGCTGGTGCATCCAGAATGCATGGCCCAGATCGTGTTGGAGGTGCGGGCAGCAAAAAAAGTGTTTGGTTTCCGTAATTTTGCAGGCCAGCAGTGGCAAAGTTGGCATGCAAAAGCAGCTGCAGTTGGAGCATCGAGCTGCCCTACAGGATGCACAGAAGCAGGATGACAAGAACAACGCGGAGCAGAGGCCGTTTGCGCCGCCGCCCACTGCTGGCCAGTAGTCAGAGCATACGTATTGTGCAGTTTACACAGGAGCCCCCATGGAAGTCACGGGAGCAATTATGCACCTTCGGGCAGCCAACATGTCCCACGAATGATTTTCACGCAACAGAGCACTGATCAATGCTTGTGCCGGTCAAGGGCAGTCATGAAAGCAGCAATCCCTGTGCAGACAAAAGAAGCTGGACAGCCGTCTCGAGTACCAGATCGGCTGGCGTCCAGAGTCCGTGCTGGGCTTGGAGCAGAGACTCCGTTGATTTTTACGGAACCCTTGGAGTCTGAAGTCTGGTGTATCCTTTACGACGTGAATGTTATAACTTGGGAAGCCGGTATGCTTAAGACATGTTGTTGAGGTCCACAGGCAGCCGATTGTACTTGATACGTCAAGTATGATACGCCCAAGATTGGTTTTGTGCCTGTTTTGAATATGTTAAGCATTTCCTGGCATGCTGGTAGGATGGTTGGAGAAAAAGCATTGCTGCTGAGAGGTTGGAGGAGGATATCGTGTGATTTATGTGTTTGGACCCGTTGTTACATGCGGCGACAGCCCGGGACAGACGGCACCATAAATGCCAGTATTTGAAGAGTTGAGGTGGCATTCAGCAATCTTTGGCACTGGTGGACCGCCAGTGACCTGTTCGGGGTTCATTCAATTTAACAAACAATGTGTGTGTACAGCTGGTTTAGAAGCATGTTTATGATTCCTCTAACTATACATTAGTCAAACTAGGGGGATCGTGCGTAGGGTTATTAGCCCGCATTCTTATCCGAGCTGTTCCAAGTGCCGGAAGAGCGTGAAAGAGGCCTAAGAATTCCCAGCCCTTGCGGCAGGGGCCCAGGCCTCTGTTGTAGGGAATGCTCAGGCGGCGCCTAGCTGTTCGGAAGAGTTCGGAAGAGCGAAGAGCGGGGAATGGCCCTAGCTGCGGCACGGCCGCGCTAAGGCTGGGAATCCTCAGGTGGCACATTCTGGGCTCCTTCGAGCTGTTCCCAGTTGTTCGGAAGAGTCTTCAAGAGCAGGGTAGGCCGCCCAAGCCTGCCCAGCTTTGATGGCAGAAAAGCAAAAGCACAGGGCGAGGCGGGGAATGCTCCGGTGGCCCATTCCGAACCTCCGACGTCTTCTGGGCTTTTCCAATATTTTCCGAACAGGTGCAGACAACATTTCCAGGTCTTTTGTGGGCCGCAGGACCGTTTTGAGAAGGATCGCACTTCAAGTCAGAAGGGTCTCACAACTCGCCGAAACATAAGTAGTAACTATCATGAGCATTTTTTGTGTTTTGTCTGGGCCGAGGTCTGTTTTTAGAAGGCCCGGAGCTCCTATCTAAAGGGTCTTCAGAACACGTCCCCAGGCAGTCTCCGCACTTGTGCCCATGTCTGAAGCATGCCCAGGGCTTGCCAACTTACAGCTTGCCGAGCTTGGTGTGTCACTTTGGATTTGGCATTGCTATGCAGCACAACTGCCATAAGACGTAAGAGTCAATGATGCTGCAAGGTGCCCAAGAGCGGTCCGGTGGCTTCAAAGCTCGGCTGCTCGCCGATGCCGCAGGGGCTCTGCTGTGCTCTGGCTGACAGGGCAGGATTTTGAATCCGCTTTGTAGTGTCGGTCAACTTGACATTCCTGACCTTACCAAGCCACTTGCTGTGGCCTTAGCCCAAGCCCTGGAGGTCTGGTTTACGATGAGGCGTCTCGAAGCGTTGCTCGGCTAGTCCTTTGTATGGAGGGCATCCATGAAATCTGAATGCTGCTGTGGTCTCCCTTGCTTGTAATTGTGCCTTGCATGCTTCTGGGTCTTAAGCTCTCATCGAACAAAGAGCTGGTTGCCTACCATCTCATGGACATAGCCCTATAAGGTCCGTATTGCGTCCACGTTGGAGCCCGCTGCTGCTGTCAACCTGGAGTACCTTATGCTATGCCTGAAGGTCTGGGCAATAGCAAGCTTCAGCAACAAAGCAGAAGTTCATATGCATACTGAAAAGCCAAAAGCCTCGGCTGCATACATCGTTTCAGTGTCGTGAATGTAACCATGGAATCTAGAAATAGCTCAGCGGTGGAGTTTTCATGTGTGCATGTGGCCTGAAGCCTCACGCGACTTACAGGTGCGCCGGACGGCTTGCCGTGAGCCCCTCTTCTCCTTGGATCCTGCGACGTGGCATGTATTATCAAATGCGCAGAGCGCATTTTGAGCAGTTTTGCTTTTTTCATGGCGCAGAGTCCATGCGGGAACAGTAAGCGGCCCAGCTGTCTGAGGTCGACCCGCAGAAGCTGGCTTCATGGCATGCAATGGCTGCTATCTTTGCACGAGGTGTCTCAGTCACAGCAAGAAGTTTTTTTCAAGGAAACCACGCCGCAGCGCAAGCGCTATGAACCGGCTTGGTTGGCTGGTACCAGTGTGGGAGACGTCATGTTCCAGGCCAGGGCGATCTGGCATGATCTGGCAGTATGGGTGCTGCTTCGCATGGTGACGCAGGCGGACTACTTCCTCAAGGAGCTAGCCCTGGGTGAGTATACCATGCCGATCGTCGGCATGATGTTGCTCGTCGACATTTGTGTTACAGATCCGGATATTACCAGGGGCCTCAGATGACCACTGTCCATTTCAGAGCTTGCAGTCAGCAGCCAGCACGTTCTAGCAGCAACCGGCACATTGCTCAAGGAGTGTGTTTGACTGGTCAGAGATGACGGATGCCAACAAGACGTGGGCGGGACGAGAGTGGTCTCATGGCTTCATTAAGTTCAGAGGGTTTGAACGGGTTGGGGTTGGACGAAGTAGAAGCTGTTGGACAGGGGAACCTGAATCCGCTCGGAGGTTTATATTTTGACAAGTTTTGCCTCTGTTGGGGTTTTGCAGATGCTCTCGTAGATAGCAGTGACACTTCGAAGCCGCAACGAAGTCCAGTCCTGGACCTATAAACCCTCAATCTGGTGACGCCCGTGTCCGCGTAATCACGGTAAGTATCTTGCGCCGCCGGCGTCAGGCACCCAGAGCGGAACACAGGATGCTTAGACGTTTATGGAAGTGTAGAAAATGCTTGCAGGCTTCGAGGATCAGGCACTTAGGGGAAATCAAAGTTTAGGCTGTTTTTCATTGAGGGATGATTTTCAAGATCAGAAGCGGATGTGGCAGTGGAACCCGGTTTAGCACCACATGGCATAGCCACAGCGAACCGCTCTTTCGGATTGCAGCAGTGTTTTGCCAGGTTTCTCTTGAACAGGCTGAAAGTGAGAGATACTTGCATGAGAAAGTGCTTCGCCTGCCAGTCCGCACTGTCTGGAAGCATGCCGAAATGCTGCAAATGCGGGGTCCTGTATGCTTTTGGGAATGAACGTTACTATGATTTCGGCATGGATGCTCTGGTACTCGGATGCGCTCGAAGGTGAACGTTATTATGGTTGGGCATGGATGTTCTGGGAACCGAATGCTCTGGACCATGAACTTTAAGAGCATTCATGGTTTAGGCATGGATGCGCAGGTGAACCTGATGCCTTCAAACATGGACGACTTGCCAGCAAGAGAGGGCCTGGGTGCCTGAACCCCCATGGGGCAAAGCATCGTCTACGTAGCGATGGGATGTAGATGTAGTTGCTTTCGCAGAATACTCGCCTTTTTTGTCATGCATTCGTGAAGATTTTTCAAAACAGGTAACAGGTCGTTGCCCTTGACCAGGTTCGTTGTCAAGAAGGCTGAGATTCGCCTCGCAGAGGAGACAAGATGGGCTTCGGGCTGGATAGCTCGTGTCGCCAGTGTACAAGAATTGTCAGGGAATGATTCTGCTATAGCTTTTCAGATCCTGAATGGCTTCTCTCGGGCCAGGATGGCAGTACCCCATGTTTATGTGTTTCCCCACAGCACTTGAAAAGCGTAGAAGAAGCTCTATGGATACTGTATGGCATACAAGTGCAACCCCATTGAGGCCCCAGAGCGCTACGTCAAATCGTCCTTGAGCACTAAACCCTGCGAAGCCCTGCAAAGTGGAGGACAAGACGCTGGTTCCTTGGGTGAAGATGGGAGTCGAAGCCCGTGAGCAGGCGCCACGGATCTTGCGCTGTTGAACCTATCAAGGAACTGTGGGGTATCAGCCTCTGTCTGGTGAAAAGCGTTTTTGCCGATAAGACCACCTCTGCCATGGCGGCTGGTTGCCGCATCATGAATTGGATGCTGTTTCGCCAGGTCGTCACCAGCAAGGGCTTGGAAGACAAGCCGATCACCAGCAAGCACCACCCTCTCACCAGGCGTTTGCACATGCACATTTCATGTCAGACAAACTGAATCCGACTGTTCGGGAATGCTACTCTGTGTTCTGTCATGTAGGCTCAAGATGTTGCATCGCCAGTGCGTAGCCAAATGTAGCAGGTTCGCGGAGGCATTCACCCGCCACTTCGACCTCATTGCTGAGCGAAAGATGCTTGCACAAGTTCTCATGGTTTTTGGCTTTCATGGGCCATTTATGGGCTATGCCTTCAGAGGGGTCAAAGTTTTTAGTCCAAGCTGTTTAGCAACGTTCTGGCAATGTTTGCATGTAAAAGTATGGGTTGCGTGCATCAAGATCCATTTCTGTCTCCATCTAGACGGCTGCAGCGATTCCTTTTCCACGGAGCATGAATTGAGATGTCCTACGTGATGTGCTTGCGTGGTGTCTTGTCGCCCAGGAGCGTGATCTTCCACCTGCGCGAATTGGCCAAGGCCAGTCCTGAGCAGGGCATCAGACAAGTGTTGCCCTAAGTTTTCAGGTTGGACAATGTATCATTAGCTTGCTTCCCCTTCAGGTTTCACTTGCTAGGGCAACCTTGGTTTGGGTGCAGCTACTTTCACCTTCCCATTTGTGTGGCGATGAAGTTTATCAAGCCAGAGCATGCAGGCCTCCGTGATGGCTAAGTTTCTGGTGGACTCGAAGATTTCCTTAGACGCACGCTGGCCGGGACCTTGGACCGGAGGGAGAGCCTCATAATTCACGTGCGAAGCTTCCGTTGGGGTGAGTTTGCACAGGACCTGAGAGCATGCAATCAGGTTCAGGTTCCTGGAACTTGGATTTGGAACATGCTTTTCCGATACGCGGATGTCTGGCTTGTACCGGAAGATGCCAATACTGAGTGGTGTACACTTTGGCATGGCATGGCCTGCGAGGTTTGACATGGCTGAGGACATGATCCAATCCACCCAGCCAGAGGCAGGAGGGGCAAATGGATGATCCCAAATTGCCAGTTCTAAGAATGCTCAGGCCTTCTCCGAGATCCCACAGCTGTGGAACATGCGCGGCAATTCCCGTATCCAGCTTCAGGGTCCTTTGGCAGCAACAAGAGGGATCCAAGGGTGATAGGTTGACTACATCATGATGACCTCGATAGGAATTTTCTGTAGCCCTTCGTTGTTGGAAGACATGCCTCCCGGCTCTACCATAGGTGGCAAGATCCGCGACATGCAGACCGGGTTGCAAAGCAACCTCCATGCAATCTACGGCGGCGTAGAGTTCGGCTGTGGCCCAAGCTAGTGCGCTGACAGCTCGTGATTGTTTGAGGCTTTCTCAAAACTACCAGCATGACAATTCAAATCAAAACGAGAACGGACAAGGAATCATCGCTAATCATTATTTGCAATCTCGCTCGATAGCGAGTTACAGCATGAAGCCTTTTGCACATGCTGCGAACAACAGCACCTAGCAATGTCCAGGCGATGTGGTTAGCTGTTCCTAGGCAGAAGCTTGCACAAAATCTCAAAGGAGTGCAGCCGAAGATCTTCGTGAGAAATCTCTGAATGAACCGCTTCCGTGAAATTGGTACAAGTATTTTGCAACCCTGCAGGGCCTGGTATACTTGCTCAATGCAGGGCTAACTTTCAAGACAAGAGGCGCACACCAAGATCATGAGCATTGCTGGCCCCCAAACCAGACGCTGGATCCTGAGGCCTCGACCGCTTCCAGCTGGCGCAGCGAACCGCGCTGCCTGGTGCTGCACTGCCCAGTGCGATGCCCGGGGCACCTCTGCCTGGCCTGGGCCTTGAGCGAAATTTCTGTGGCCAATGCTTCAGAAATCCCTGAACAAGAGAAATGATTGCCTAAGGAGCTGCCTTGACCCAGCCTGGTCCTGGTCGATTTGACATCACAGGCAGACGTGCTTAAGCTGTGCCCAAACTTCTTCTGTTTAGCCCAGCGTGGCTGGTGGGATAGTGGTGCGACTAGTTGAGACATGCCTGGCCTGCTTGCCCTCAGACAGAAGCTCTGAAGAATCACTGTGTAGCACAGGTTTGGGATTAGTCAGTCCTGCTAGGATTGCAGCTTGGACCTTCGGGACGACCAATGTCAGGGCCTCCGGCCGAAGCTGTTGAAATGAGCCCAGCCCGGCCTTTGACCTGAAAGACATCAATTGCATGATGGCAACAGTTCTAAAGCACGAATGTTCAGTCTTCGCAGTTTGGGACAAGAGCTCTTGATGGTTTGCCGATGCTTGCTGCAGAGGCTGCCGCCCTTGGAATGCACTTTCCCACGAAGCGCCCCACAGCAGCTCATGGCAGCCATTTACGTTTGAGCTCACGACTGAGGTTTATGCCGCAGAGGTTCCAGCTCCCGCCGTCGCGCGATGGAGTTCCGCAAGGCCTCTATCCAATGCAAACTGGATGGCGGAGACTCCATTTACAATCCTATTCCCAGATCAAGGGCGCCGTGTGTTCTATTCCCCGCATTCCACACAGGTGGCATTAGTGCAATGGAAATGACCAAGGGCTACTGTCTGATGAGATGCGCTTTGTGCTTGCGCTGGCCAGTACTTAGGGGTGAACATAGGGTCCTTTGGTAGTTTAGTACAGTCCTTGCTATATTCGTTAAAAGGAACCTATGTCAGCGAATTATTGGAAAATATTGATCGTAGCTCATATGACAACTTTGCGGCTTTCTGTGGCTCCGATGTACGCCTCGCCTTCATACTGGCTGGTGCAGGTGTGGACCTGGCTCTGGACAAGTTCGATCTCTCCGCCCCGGATCGCTTCGCAAACTCTCTGCCTCCCTGCAGTGGGGCATCCCAGAAAAGCCCAGAAGCAACCCTGGGGCCATGACCATACATTTTCGGGTTCTGTGCTATTGAATGCGTGTGCAACACTCAGCATTCTTTGGAGCGCATTTGCTTTTGATTTCGAACTGCCTCCAGCCAATGCCTGAAGCTCGCAACGCACGGAGTCATGAGTTTTCCCTCGCCACTACCTTCTGCAGAATCTATGCCGCCAAGCAGTTGTAGCAGGCAGGGCAAAGACATGTATCTATGAAAAGCTGAGGTGCGCACTTCGATTCTATTGAGGGCCGTGTCACCCTGGGAAAGGCGTGTGGCAGATGCCGACATGTTGAATGCTCCACAGTATGTCCAGCATGAGCGGTAGCTTGTCTCTGAATTTCCCGAATTTTGCCGGTCTTGCCTTGGACTCACAACAGTCGACTATCCCAGGTGGGCCGGGTGAGCAGGGGAGTTCCAGAAGTATTAAGAGCCAGATTCCTGTAGAAACCCAAGGACCTGACACTCAAACGGAAGCAACATATTTTAGGAAGCCATGATGGTAAACTAGAAACCCGCCATGCAAGAGTGACAGAATCCGAGGGTGATGCTGGCTCAAAAAGGAAGCAGAACATGATAGAGATGAATCCAGACATCATGGAGAAGCAGCAACATGACATTGACAGAAACTGCCAGAACTCGAAGCATGTTGCTCAGTGTGTCTTGCTGCTTCAAGTTCTGACAGTTTTGGTCAATGTTTGTTGTTGCTTCTACTCCGAATAATCCACGGACATGCCAGTGAGTGACTTGAGGAAGGAGTTCGATGAGAATGCTAAGCATGGGTCCGAGGACCTGCCGTACAGCAGAACCGTGGTCAGACTCGACCACATGAGTGCATGAGAAAGTGCATCAAAGCACATCATGAAAAAAACACACCCACAAGACATGCCTTGGACACGCTTTCGAGGAAAAGTACGGCTGGCCCATTGGCACCTCCCCACGCAATTTGTAGGTCAGGGTCCACTGGCTTCAGCTAAGCCTTAGCCTGCCAAGTTTCCGCAAGGCTGTCCAGGAATTAGCATTTCAGAGTGCCAAGCCTTTGTCTCACACAGCTTGAACTCAAGGCCGACACTGACACTACTCCCCTCCCAAACACAGCATCAACATCATATGAATCTACACCTCGAACCAAAATCTGGAAATGCCAGAGGACTATTGCTGCATGGATCTGCACACACTGTGGAAGTTGCTGGTCCTGGCCAGGCATTCTTGAAGAATCTTCAAGAGGAGAAGTGAGCGTATGGCTTTGCTCTTTTAGAAGCTGCTGCTGTGGTTGTGAAGTAGTGGAAGAGATGTAGAGACTTGTGCGTGAGAGCCGTGCGTGAAGCCTGAGCCTCCGTTTGGCATGAGCTTTGCAGGACTCCTACGAAACCCTGAAGGCCGAGGATGCGAAGCTTCTCCAGCGCGTCTTCAACCCCGTGATGGCTGACAGGCCGTGTGCGTGCTTGTGCATGCCTGGGTTGAGTACCTGAGGGGCACCCCAGGCTGTGAGCTGTGATGCCAACCATTGCACTTTGTGATCAGGATTGCTGAGGGAGACTCCTTCATCCCTCCTGCAGCTCGTCAGCAGAGGGCAGATTTAGGTTGCAGGCTGAAGGGCTGAAGCTTCAAGCTTTCATCAAGCCTGGCGTGCGTTGCACTGGCAAGTCCACAGCTCGTTCAACCTAGCTTGGGTTGAAAGGCGCTTGGCTTGGAAAACAGCAGTTTCTTGAAGAAGTTTGTGCTATTTTGAGCTTGCTGTTTGATGTCCAGGATCCCAACCTTGACTACGTGCAGAGGCTCCGACACCTCATCCAGGCCGGGGCCCTTGCAGTGGTCAATAGGGTCCAGCGACAGAAACCAAAAATGACCGCTGCATGAAGTTACCCTCTGCTTCTGACAAGGAGGAAGAGAGCCTTACAAAGCAGAGGCCCGCATTGCATCTTCTTGTGAAATGAGCTCCCAGACCTTTGCAAGCTGGCCCCCGCTGGGCCCTGCAATCATCAGATCGTTTGCATGTTGCCAGGAAGGCTCGCTTCAGCGACAAGAACTTCACGGTGGGAATCTTGCCGAAGTGGAGGTTTCCTAGGGAATCAGCATGCTACGCCAAAGGAAAATGAGCCACACATGCTTTCGACGGGTTTTGCAATCCTTCAAGCTGGACATGTGGACCTGAGGATGAAATCCACCGCTTGCCTGAGCCGAGGAATGGCTGGAGCCGAGTTCCCTCGATCCTGGACCTCGCGATTCCAAATCCTACGTGAAGGATGTCGGCATGTCTTCTTTCCTTCAATATATGTATTCATGCTGGGTTGTCAGTGTTCTTGTTCTGGACCAGTCTGGTGAAGGGACTGCTTGCGAAATGTAAGATTTGCACATCGTCGCTGGACTTTATTGAGTCAACGATTCCTCTCAGGTTTCGTGGCATGTAGCTTTGCAGTTTGTAGAATGCATCCTGCTCTGAAGATATTTGCGAGGAATACACGTTGCTCCTTCAACCAAGTCACAATGTCGAATTGGTTTGAACCAGGAGGCAAAGCGCAGGTGGTCGCCAGACCTGGCCTCGCCACCTTGAAGGCTGTTCATGGCTTGGGCCATTGCTTCAGCTTACGAAGGATGTAAGAGCAGAACTTGAACGTGACAAGCCAGTGTTGGGGAACCCAGTGCTAGAGCCTTCAGAAAACATTGCGGGGTCTTCAGCTCGTGAATGCTGCCCATTCTTTGCTGGGAAGTCTGTTTGAGCAGCTTTCTTGATGAATTTGCAGAATGCCTAGACATTGAGAATGGGCTCCTAGCCGAAAGGAGAGTTGCGTCATTTGAGTCTAATTGGGAGTGATGACCCAGTCCTTTGTCCACTCCGAACTCCTGTTCTTCCGATTCCAACTCCGTAGAGAGGAACCTTCAAGGTTGAAGCAAGAAGCTAGCTTGGGCGGTGTCCATGCAGCTCAGGGTTTGCGGTTTGCAGATCTAGTACGGTATAGTTAGGATTGTGCTGTGGGTTGGAGCAAGAGTCTGACTCATCAACATAGACTGTAGCCAAGGTGTCTTGGCTTGACCTCAGATCTGGGTGCAGGTGGACGAGATCTTCACGCGCACACTGCTTGAGGACATCCTGCCCACTGCCGCGCCCGAGTTTGCGCAGACCACTGAGGATGGGAAATGCCATGCACTGACATGCATTATTGGGACCACTTCCCTTCTATGCTTCCATTGCCATCTCCAGTTCTGACATATGGCCAACAACATAATCTGGATTGCAACACGGTCGGTAGGATGGTACAGTCTTCCGCATCTACAAGCCGCTTGGCATCATGCGTCTTCTTCTGTTCGTTGAGCAACAGCTACTCAGCTCAAGGACGTAAGAAGCTCAGGATTGGCCGCCTCGAGGTGCGCACCACACAGGCAGCGCAGGCCAGGTGTTCAGCATGACCAATGAGAGTTGAAGGGTGGAGCAACTCAGAAGTGGAAGGTTTCAGGCGTAGGGTGGAAGCTCTGGTTTGCACCTGCAAAAGCCTGATCCTCTGGTGGTGCTAAGCTGTCTTGTTCCTCCACAGCAGATAGAAAAGCCGCTTTTCAAGCACCCTGGCACCACAGCCCCTTGGAGGCACCTACCCAGGAGGTGCTCTCGGTGTTCTCCCTGAGGCGCGTGCGACAGTGAGGAGACTTAATTGCCGTTGAGCTCTTGCTGTTAAAGAGGTACGTCTTGTTGCTATCCTTCTCAAGATTTGCATCAACTTTACATATGACAAAGACGCGGAGATAACATGTGTGCAGATGGTCTCTGCCTGTGAGGCCGCCATGCCTGGAGGGAGCCCGAGGTGCTGGCACGAGCTTTTGTCAAAGTGACCTTGACGCAGCGTCCCAGTGCTGGCAGGTAGGCTGCACACCGTTTCTCCTAGCGAGAAGTTCGTGAAAGGCGCGCCCTGTGAGCCAGCTGGCCCAGAGGATGTAGAGTTCATTGAAGATTCTCCTTTCAATCAGGCCGCCTCTTTGTCGAAGCCATTGATGGCGATCATAAGGAGAATCCTCACCTGAAACGTCTTGCCGCCTTGGGCGTCGTTTGCGAGTGACACCCTTGCACAGCAAAGTCTCAAGAATTGCAGTTTTCAGGTATGGAGCCAGAGCTCGCAGGAAACTTAAGCCTTGTTAGGTTGCGCCTGTGACGAGTGCTGTCCACCCAAAAAGCAGCCCTTCCAGGAGTGCGCCAAGCAGCTCCACCTGTGCCACTTTTACGTTGTCCTGGAAACCAGCTCTTCCAACGTGATTGTCACGGAGAAGCTTGCGGACGGATCCACCACTTGGGCCACTTGATTTAATGCCTTGCGCATGCTGTCTTCTCAATAAAAAGACGTTTCACCATGTCAGACACAAGAAGAGATTTGCATGCCGAAGGTCTTGAACCCCTCGCAGATCGAGGACGTCAGCGGCAAATCTGCAGAAGCTTCTATCCCATGCACAAAACAGCCAGACTGCCTTCCAGTCAAAGCGAAGCATCAACTATTTGAGTAGACATGCGGAATACCTCAGAATTAACAGGGTGCCTTTCGACGGACTGCTAAACGGTTCACCTCCTTCACTGCGCTTCAGCAAAGCTACATATTTGCATGTTTTGACGCGGTCTGTCTTGTTTGCCTGCACTTCACATGCATTTGGGCCACGAAGCTGGCTAGGACCGCAACTCCTTGGCAAAGCTGATGATTGCGGTCGACATCCGCATGGAGCTGCCTGGACTCATCTTCAGCCTTTCTTTTTTTTCAGGGGAGGCCAGGAGCTTTGCTGACCTTGAGTTTGCCCAGGAAGGCGACCGTTGGCAACCTGCAGGTCACCCAGGAGAGTACCATGGCAGCACTCCGGGCTTCTTTTGAAGTGACAGCTTCGGACAGGACTCTCGCTTGGAAAAGGTGCTTTTCAACCCTACCCATTGAATAATCAGTGTTGTCACAGTTGAGGGAACCTCTGATAGCTTTCACTGAGCAGCAGCCCGTCATCGTTTTGGCAGGTTTTGACTGCACCCCCGCAGGGTGATTGTAGTAAGTACAGGTAATGCCAGCCTTTAGGACAACATGCCATCATAACATTGCCTGTAAGGCTGTTCTCCTGTTTGAGGAGAAGAAGAGAGATAGCAGCAAATGCAGACGCTCCTGTTCATTTAAGCTGAAGGCAACAACATCAAGAGCGCTGCCGGGGCGGGCGCTTCGGAGCCTTGGGGAAATTGGACAAGAAGCCCAGAAACATCTTTCCGCTGATGTCCTACAAATTTTCCAAGGGTTCGGGGATGCACAGTGGTCTTCTGGCTAAGTCTCCTGCTGAGCTTTTTCGATGACAATTTTCTCTCCGATGTCTGAAGGGAGTGTAGTATGACGTTTCAAGCAGCTGCTGGAGGTTGCAACATCTATCTTCAGCATGGATCGCTACCACCAGTATCATGAGAGTCATAATATCGCCCTCTCAGTTGAAGCATTTTGGGCAGACTGCATGGGACGATGTCAATAGCCTTGGATAGTCTGAGAAGCTTGAAAAACCCATTGACGTCTTCTTCATGCTCCACACACGTAAAAGGTTTATCTATTTTAGCTCAACGTTGTGTGGTTCATCCAGACATCCTGGCCTTGCGATTGGCCTTTGCGAGCTTATTAAGCTCCCGCGTAGGTTCAAGGTTACGCTGCGTGTGTGTCAAGCGTAACCTGATAGCCCTCCCTAGCTCAGTGTAAGCTGATCCACAGCACACTGGCTTCAACCTGCAGATCTTTCAGGGCTACGCCGAGAATGATTGGTTTACGCATGAGTGTTGGCTGTGAGCTTAAGGAGGTTCAGCGCTACACGTTGGTTTTGGGCTTCACCACAAACCTCAATTTCTGGCACAACCCTTGCGTTTGTAAGCTATCGTTATGAAGAGATTGCTGGGGCGAACTTGATTTGTAATCGTGCTTCCTGCTGCATCTGAGCACAAGGTTTTGCTTTCGCGGTCTGCCCACAGGCTAACGCAGGATGCTGCAGTGAAAAGCTTAAAATTGTTTGACGCCGGCTTCTTCAGGAGCGAAAGCGCTATGCCAAAGACATCTTTGCACTGGTCTCGCCGAGGAATTTGAATCTCTCGTCGAGGTGGGCCAAGAAGTTCATCTGCTGGCCTTAGGAGTTCAGGGCTGTTTTGCAGGACTGCCAGTGCTAAATGTTGAAAATTTTGAACCTGAGCTGACACATGCTGAGCCGTGGCCAGTATGAGGCGTTTTGCTGGCCGCGCCTATCCCTACCCGTCCAACTCGAAGCGAAGCAAGGAGTTCAGGACGCTCGGTAAGGGTGCAAAGGGCGGACTTTGGATTTGGAGCTGTCTATGTTAGAAGGACTCGCTGGGGAGCTCCCCTGCCCATGCCCGAGAAGGAGGAAGGCAAAGGCGAGCTCGTTGCAATCCTGGCAACTGCTTCTGACCAATTCTGAACATGCAAGGCACACATACCAAAGTTGAGTCTTGATGACTGAATGCAGGTGCTTGAGCACTTAACAGATGTCAGTCGCAGGCCAGTTCAGACGTGTAGCGCACATTGCTGCATCTGGTGCTGTGATGCTGCTGTACCTAAGATGCAGTGAAGCATGCCAGATGTTGGAGGGACACGGGCCCAACGTCAAAAGCAGACCTGAGCCTGTCCTCCGCCAGGAAATCATAGGCGATGTCTTGGTGCCGGCTAGATTGACGAGGCGCCATGATGTGGATACCATGCCACTTGTTTGTGACGCCTGCTGGTTTTGTTGCTTGGGCTGCACTGTTGTCATTCCATGTCTCCTCACCTAACATGAGAAAAAAGCCTGGGCTTCAACAGATCTCATGTGGGCAATCTATTACGAGACTCAATTCCTACTAGCATGATATCAATAGCTCCTTTTCCAATTTCCATTCAAGGAGTCTATGAGTATGTTCCAACATGTTCCACCTAGCTTGCTGGGATATCAGGATGTTGCAGCTTTGGCTTGCATGCGCAAATGACAGCATTTGGCAAGTCCTTTGGACGGGGCACTGCCTGCTGGACCGCAACATCCCAGGCTTTAGGTTTGCTGTTCTGTGAAATTTAGATTGGAAGGTTTCGCAGTCTGACGTAAGTTTCTGCATCCAGCAACATGCACAGCTTGCCTCGACAGTCCGGACCTACAGCATGCTGGTCAATGAAGTTTACAAGAAGTACGCACTGCTGTTTTCGTTGGATGCATGCACAAGATTGTCCCCATCCTGGAAACAACCCAGCCTGCAACAATGCCATGAGAAATTCTCAGATAGTCTACGAGAAAATGGTCAGTAGTAGTCACAGCAATTCATGAACATTGTTTCCTCCGCACATTTGTTGTGCCAAAGGCCGGGGCGGCTTCAGCACTGAGACCTCGCGGATGCCAAGTGGTTCTTTTGATGAGCGCCCTTCAGGGAATAAACGAACTCAGAACTCTTGGTGGGCCTTCCCTTGACAAAAGGATAGGATTAGGAACAGTGATTGGTGGCCCGTTCCAAGTCTAAGCAGTGCCAGGTGGCATCCTTTCAGCGGTTAGATTTGATGTGAGATGCTACTTCACAATCTGCTTGGCAAGGCTGGAAGCATTCCGTTAAGATGATGACGAGCAACCCAACATTCTGAAGTCTGCATTTGATTTTGTTATGAACGCTCAAAATGGGTGGATATGATGGGAAGGCGCGCTAGTTTGGCGAACAGCTCTACTTGGCGTCCAGAAGCATCCCGATAGCAGCAGCAGGCGAGCAAGCTGCTCCTTTCCGCAGCGACGTACAAACAGTCACGACCTACACTCCCATCACAATTTACTGCTGTACACATTTGGGTTATCTTTAGGGCAGGTGGAAGGTAGTGTGGTATGAGATGTTTGCAGCCAACCAGAGAGGCTTGATACCACAGCTTCTACCCCGCAATAACATGGTGAGTTCGGCAGCGGGCAGCTAATTACCCTTCTTGAGGAGGGACCATTGAGACATGCCAGATAGGTATCAAATGAACACAAGGTATGAGCGGTTTGCGCGTGAATGTCTGGGCTTCTTCGCAAAGAGCTTTAGCCAAGCTCTCACGCTGCAGTTTGAGCCACTCGATTGCCGAGGCGCTTTCGTAGCAAAAAACTGTGTGCATGGATTTCTGCAGTGACATGTGTGAAGATTGAAGCAGTTCTTCTGTAGCAAAGGTATGTTTTTTGTCCTGGGACCTTGGATAAGGGAGACGCACAGCCTGCACTTGAACCTGGACCTAGCAACTACCCTTCAGGCCACAAGTGCTTTGTCCCAGGTGCATGCAGTCGCAGAGTGCTACCATGTACTAGTATGTGTCGAAGCGGAGCCTGCAGCGGCAAGTGGCCGCAAATGTGGGTGATGAATACACAGTGACCAGAGCTATACTGCATTCGTACCGTGCATTAGCCTGCTTCGACTCGGCCATCAACCTGTGCAGATAGCTTGAAATGCTCTCCCAGGTCTGACTACCGCTTCACCCTGAAGGCAGCGGCGCCGGCCTCAGCAAGTGCCGCGGGCACATGTTCATTGAACATAGTCAGTATTATGTTAAAGCTTTCCGCTGGTATTCATTTGTTTGGTTGGATTGTTGACTCGCAGTTGCTATTGCAGATCTTTCTTGCCATATACTGGACCTGGTGTGTCTTTACCCCTGTGTCCTGTTAGACCGCTTCTCAGCCCGATCAATTCCGAGGATTTGACACCTCCGCAGATCACAGTGGTCAGCATGCCTGCCCGGCCTGTGAACCTTCTGCTTCTGTGTGAGCTAGAGCGTAGGACCCGTAGTTTGCTCCGACTGTTCAGGTCAGCCATGATCCTGTCGCGATTTGTCGGCATGCCAGGTATGGCATCACTGAAAATATCATCCGCGTAACAATCCGGCTTGATGAGTCTGGCACAACGTGAGCAACCCAGCCTTTGATTCCTTTTAAGGCTCAACTGATAAGATTTGGACGGATTTACGGGACAGTTTGCCATCCTGAGGTATTGCCGAGCGTATGACAGTGGGGCCTTCACCCCAACTTCGCAGGCTGGCTGGAACTTCTAACGTTGGGAGTGCCCCTGTAGATTACTGTGGCTGGCTTGGTCAGGGTGGCTCGGATGTCCCGACCTTGACCGACTGTGGAGCCTGCACTCTGGAAATCAAGACTGACTCAGGACCCGTGCGTCGGGTCTATGTGGAAGTCATCATAAGATGTCTTAAGCGTCGCTGTGGTGTTCTTCATCTCAGCAAGGATTTCGGAGCTATCCGACCTTGATCTAAGCGGTGGGAAGTGCAATGCAAAGGGGATTCATGGCTGAAAGAGCGTCTTGTGACCAAGCCAGGAACGAACTTCGTGGGAAGCTCCACGTACGATTCTGCCAAAGGCTTCGCAGAGCATGAGGCATGTGGCACTGGTGCAAGCATTTGACCTGCCATAGTCTGTGCTCCTGCTCACGAAGGTAGACATCACTGGCCTTGTTGCAAAGACTTTCTATTGGGCCGCGAGCCTTGGTGTGTGAAACATTCTGATGTTTGCGCTTAAAAAGCCGGCAGCTGGTTTAAAGGGCACAGGCTGTTCTGACAGCTGCTCTGCAATGCAAACTTATCCAGTCTGGATCAAACTGCAGAACTTGATGGGTGTCAGAAGCTCATCAAGAGCGATGCCTTCCGAGGTCTACTGCTACTCCCTTGATGCGGAAATCCCAACAAGCAATGTGGTCACCTCTTCGCAGATGCTGGCAACAGAGCGAAGTGTTCCGAACTCAGCTGACAAACAGTCCTAGATCAGGACATAGTGCAAGGTTTCCAGATTCGAACGCAGCGGTTGACGTTCAGCGACTTCCTCTGAGAGAGGTGCAGGCAGCAATCTTCTTTTCTGGTTTTGCCGCTTAAGGTTCGAACGCTGGACACCACCCCGCCTAGCTTCGGAACCTTTGCATGCGAAGAGACGGCTGCCACCGAGGAAACTGCCACTCACAGGTATAATCACGGCTGAACCTGATGTTATACAGGGTGTAAAGCGGCACTGTCAGTGCTCATAATTGCAGATCCCACGTACAAGTGAGTATCCAGCGCGTCGTCGAAAGACACCGCCTGGTGGCAGGACAGCATCACTGTTACGCTGAGCATGAACGAAGCTGGACGAGCCTACTGCAAGGCTACGCTTGAGACTTGTTTTGCGCAAGGTGCACGCCAATGCATCCTTCAGCTTGTCCAGGTTGTGAACAAGGGCTTCGATGCGCCCACGCCCAATGCAGTCATTGCTGAAGGCCAGCAGCACATCATCGTGTACGCTGTGCGGACCATTTCGGTTTGAGGTTCTTGGTATCCGAATGTTTCAGCGTGCAGCCGCTCAGCTTCCTGGGAAAGGTTTCTACATGGACGTGGCCACCACCTCGGCGTTCACGATTGTCGTCAACCAGATCACCACCGGGCTGGGTGCGACAGGTAGTGGGCCTAGCAGACTTGCGATCGATACTGGCCAGCTCTGGGCTTCCCGCCGCTTGCGTACTGGGCGTTCTGAGTGGAGGTCTCGAGCCCCTGAACCGGAAGTGGGACTACGACGTCTACTGCTGGGCCCAGGTGTCCCTTGCTTTGGGTTCAGGGCCTGAGGATCCTGCATCCGGCTTGAGCAGTGCACTGCGCAGTCGCACTTAGCTTGTGACTTAATTTGGGGATGCAGACTTGGATGTTTTGCGCTGGGCTTGCCAATGCCAGGATGCGGAGGGCTACCCGTACTACGGCCCAAACGGCATGGCTGCCTCAGAGGCAGGCAAACAATTCCGGGTCATGGTAGTAGGATTAAAATATGCATATGTATGCATGGGCAAGCAGCTTGGCACCAGTTGATCCGCAGGCGTGTCCAAACAATTTCGTTACCACGCTCGATTTGACGCGACCGAACATGCGCTTTATCATGGCGGAGTCGGTCTCAGCAAGCCAGATCATCATCACTCTGCAGGCAGGGCTGGCGACAGGCATTTGCATTCAGCTCAAAGAATGCTAGATTGCCAGGTAGACGAAGGCGCAATGGTACGCAGCTTAGCGTGCCCAGAGTTGGACCGCTTAGCATCACATGGTTTCTTTTCGAATGCCGTGTGCTGTGTTGGCTGTGATGAAGTGTAGATTTAGGATGGTCTTTGGGCGAAGGGGGTCGGTCCATTGTATGCTGATGTGTGATGAGTGCCTTGCACCATTCGCGACCTGCCTGAAAGCATTGCAGTCGTCCAGCCGCCTCTAGGTCTGGTGTGCAGCTTGGGCAACCGATCCAGGAGGGCAAATCCAAAAGCAAGATGTATGGAAATCCTCTTCTTGATGGCAACTCACCGTGCAGGACTGACGTCCGGCAACTATGAGACGATGATCAAGGGGCAGCAAAGCACCTGTCACGACAGCAAAGGCCATGACAACAGAGCCGGGAACATGAGACTGCTTCAATATTCAATCTTATTCAATACTTGTTTTGTGACATTTCCGATTTCTTCCCTGCAGGCCGGCAATGTGGTACTTTCTGGATCTATGCCGCCAAGCTTGACTGTTGGGTGCTTCATGTGCTCATGTAGAGGCTCTTAGCTGGTCGTCCTTGGCCCTAAGCCCTACAAGTTCGGATTGCAGGGGCGTTTATACGGCTGGTCACACATCGTGCAAGGCCACCTGGGACGTACTGAGGGAACCTGACTGCTGTGCCTAGGATCTGGATGACCTGGAAGACACTGCAGCCGACGGCGTGTCGACTCAAGCAGAGTATGAGAGCCTGGACAACTGGAGATTCAACCAGGAGCCTAGAGATTGACGAGCCAATCTCAAAGAGTTCACATGCAAAGCCATTCCTGTGTCAGGAGTCAATAATTCAATTTAAAACCAAAGGAAAATCCGCACCCCTCCCGGCATCTGGCGGAAGGTAGTCCTTGACAAGTGGGCAGAGCAGTGTGGATGCGTTCCAGGACTTCGACATCATTGTCAGCGGCCTCTCTGAACAGACGAACTATCCCTACATCTACTGCTATGCTGAGGATGCCTTTGGCTCAGAAGGCAAACCCCCGCATCTGCCTTGGTCCTGAGACGGAGAGCTGAGGATGAAACCGATGGAGGGAGCAGTGGGCCGGGCAGCGCTCCGAACAAGATGATGTGGGACGATGTGGCAACTCAGAGGAATTTGGATGTGTGATGTGTCCAGGTTGAGAACCTAATTGGCTCGATCAAATGCGTGCGAGGGGAAACAGGCGAGACGGTCCTTGTGTTCAGCTGTCATGTTGGTTCTCTAAAGGTGGGTGCTTGCGTCTCCTGTTTGTTGGCATGCTTTTCGTTTCTCGGGTCAGCTGGCCTTCATTATCTCACAGACTACTGACTATCTGAGGCCAACGCTCTCCCAAGCAACGTCCACACCATCTGGGCTGGCATCGGTACGGTTCAGAAGCTTGCCTGCATTTGCCTGCTATTTTGAAGGGTTCTCTTAAAACGGAGCAGTGAACTAGACTTGCACGCGTGTCAAGGGCAGTCTGGGTGGCACTGGATGGTTCCCTTTGGTAGCCGGTGGCCTTCTCTACTTCAAACTGTCAAGCAGTGAAGAGAGAGCACAACCCCCAGACAACTTTATTTAGTTTTGAAGGGTATCCACAGATAGCTTGATGCCCTGCATCTTAGGACCTTGGATGAGACGCCACCTGAGTTTACGCAGCTCTCCATAAAGGCCGGCGGAAAAAATTCGCTTGCTTCTGTGTTGAGGATGGGGAACGGCTCACATGTGCCATTCCAATCTTCAGAGCCTGCCATGATAACAATTCGTAAGATGGGCCTGGAGTCACGTTGAAACATTTGTTCACTGACCATGCTAATCACCAATTGAAAGTCCCCAAACTAGGGTCTCTCCTAGCTCAAGGCCAACAAAGGTATAATGTCCAGACGCGAGTCATCAGAATTGCTGAAGATGTGTTTCATCACATCATGCCTTTGGTGCTATGTCATGTCCACTCGCGCAAGTGTGACCCTGGAAAGCTCCACGCAGGATCCTACAGATGCCAACGACCGACTCGTGGTCACCTTCTCCCTGAACGAGGCGCCTTGTTTGGTTGCCCGGGGGTGTTGCTGAAGGACTTTCAAAGGTGTTCCCGCCTGGGTGGCTGATTTTTCCGAAGCTTGAAGACAGTAGCCTCTTTTTGGCATTGGCAAGCTTCTTCAATCATTTCTAGCCGAGAAGAATCATAATAAATACGATGCAGTCCGAGTGCTGTAATCGAGAGGCTTTCATGGGCCATGAGCTGGTTGCCCGCTACGTCTGATGATGTATAAAGCCGCCTGAAGTGCGGAGCTCTCTCTAGGGAACAGGCGTATCCGCCAGCCCGAAGTGCATGTGACTCTAAATGATCAAGAGGAAAGTTTGAAAGCCATTCCTCCCGGACAAGGCAGGAACTGCCTACTGCCGAGCCACGCGGAGCGACTCGGGGGAGACGGACCTGAAGCACTAGGCTCAGATATAGCACGCAAACTGCATGCACCCTCTATTGCAAGCCTCTGAGGATCAACCGCATCTTGTCGGCCAACTACTACCAGAGTGTGAGTGCCGGTGCCACTGTCGAGCCTTGGACGGCTTGCAGCAAAGTGTTGTCCAAGGTTGCAATTCAGCCAGTCTTCTGAAATCTGCTGAAATCTTAGGGCACAATCACAATCGACAAGCTGGAGTCTTCGGACACGCGGACGCTCTACGAGGCTGTGTCTCTTGGAAAGTAGGGAACATACAGGAAGAACATATTTGGGATACTTCTTTACTTGGGCATTGGAGTTGGGCTTCTGGAGCAAAGAGCCCAATTCTCGAGACTGCTGTGGTGTAGCGAGAAAAGACAGGCAACGAACACACAGCAAAGTAACGATCCTTGCTTTGCAATGAGGCTTCTCAGTATGACGTCTACTGTTGGGCCATGGACTCGGCCGTGAACACTCAAGGCCTCCCGCGGCCGAACTACATGACGCAGGCCAAGAGAAAGGGGTCGACTAGTCGATATGCAAATATGCTTGGATTAGAGCTGATCGCTTCTTGTCACTCTTTTCCTGTGAGTCCTACGTGAACACGCCTGTGGGCACCACCCTGGCCCACGCAACGAGCAGTCCCAGCGGCGGGAAGACGCAATACGTTTGGGTCAAGGACCTGACTCGTCCGTCCATGTAGCTCGGTTCTGCTGATTCGTAGTTTCCTCAACTTACTTTTGCCTCCTCCATCCAGAACGTCTGCCCCTCAACAGCATTTGCCTCTCCAAGGATCTACGTCTCGTCGGGGGCGCTCTCTGAGGATACGATCCAGATTACGCTCCAACTGAACGAGCCAGGCCCCAAAGGTGTTGGCATGTTATCTGAGTAAGAACGGTTTTAGCTCGCAGAGCATAAAGGCACTGGGGTATTGAACCTGGTTGGTGTCTTGTGCTGTTCATTGGCAGGCACAGTGTGGTGCATGCCTACCCTGCCGACTGTGGATGCCACCTATGTTGATGCAGCAGACATCACCAGCGCAGACTTCAAGGTGCTTAGAGTCGTCTTGTGGTGTTGGTGCAGCGCAGAATTGAGGTTGCGGCCAGTTCCCAGAGCATGCGTTCTCTGAGGATAAAATCACCGGGGCAAGCAGCCCCGTGACGTTTGTGCAGTATGTGCCGACGGCGTATACCAACATCGCCGTGGAAGTTGACAGAGTTGTCAGGCATGGATTGGAAACCCCCGTATCAGATTGGATAGCGGCTCTAGACTCCAGCATGACATTTCCATGGCCGTGCCAACAGCCACACTCGTCCCTGATCAGGGATGATGACACTGGAGCTCCTTGCCTTGAAGTGCAAGTGCTGCGGACATCCGTCGACGTTTGCCAGTTCAGCAAATTTGCGGAAGGGCCGCTAGGGTAGGCACATCCAAGAAGGTCCCGGTACCGAGGGATTGCTGAGACCTGCTCAGTGTGGGCTGTAGGAGGATGGAAGCGACAACAGATTTCTGTGTTAGATTTGGAGTGCTAGGGGTGTCGTTTGGAGCAGGAACTCCTGTCCAGCCGCAATGCCCGGACTTCCGAGGCTGCCTACTTGGCCGCCGAATCGCCCTACAACATCTTCTGTTTCGCATCCGATGATTGGGACTTCGAGGCCAGCCGCTGTAAGCTTGTCCCAGGGCTTGCGGGTCAGGGCCCAGGTCAGTCGTCGTCTTGCAACTTGAAAGTGTTCTTAGACAACTTTATGGGTCACGGTCTAGAGCCTGCCCATTTCCTGTGTACTACAATACCTTTGCCGAATCCGGCACTACGAAAGCGCGGACTGTCGAGGTACGGGAAGTAGAATGCCCTGGTGTTGCTGATCCTGTGTTCCTTTGGCTCCGCCAGCTTATTCACGCAATCCTAATTTGCAAAGGAGCCCAGAGGGGCCCAGAGCTGTGTGTCAGGCCACGGGTGCAACGGATCAGTCAATCAACTTCCAGTCTGCCAACGTGGGTGCACCGAATGAGGCGTGAGGGAAGGGTTCCAAACTGCAAGCAGATGGCAGATATTTCAGTGCTCTTTTCGGATTTTTCTGATTGCCCCTCGTTCTGGACTAATTAATCGTTGTCAGTTCGGGCCCTGATGCTGCAGGTGATCCATCAGGATGTGCTGGACTTCTCCGCTGCAGCCGCTTTGACTCACCTGATGATACATCTACGCATAAGGGAATTTTTGTGCTTTTTCCTGGCCCGCTTGGGAGCCAAGCGTGTTTGGTGCAGCGGCTTCAACTTGGATGCGAGGTTGGACAAGTGATCACCTTGGACCTCACGCCGCCCACGATCCAGATCAACAGCGCCCTTTTGGCTGCAAAACTGGGACTTGCTTTCTGTTCACTGCCCGCTGTCTTCTTGGCCGCTCTCTCGGCACGCGGTCAGGTGGTTGATATTGTTGACAGTTCTGCACTCTCTCAGGTGTCAACCACAGAGACCACGATCACAGTGAACTTGGAGCTGAGCGAGACCGGGACGGCTTGGTGTCAGGCAAGGCAAAGCGTTACAACTCTTGCAACAAGATGGGCGGTTGCTTGCGAGGCGGTGCGGCATGGCTTCAATGCTGCACGCTCAGAGACTGGATCCGTGCAAGAGCGTGAGTCTCCTTGCCCTGGGTAGCAAGCATGCGTGGATTAATTGTTCCGAGGTTCCGACCATCCTGGAAATCCTCGACAGCAATTTTACGTCAGAGTATGTTCACGTTGGCCGCTCGTTGCAACTACTGCAAGTCTTCAAACCTGACACAAGATGTCGCGAGAAAGAAATTGTCACCATCATTCTATGTCCGCCTTCCTGCAGGCCCTCCCACGGTTCCGGTGGACGTCCAGATCCTTGGCTATGACCGCCCGAGGCAAGTTGGAGCTGCTTGCGCAGACCAGTGACTAGATGTGAGGGTGAAGGTCGCAAGTTTGGGGTGCAGTAAACATGTTTTATGATTTGGATTGCGCAGGTCAGATGATCAGATTGCAGTCAACAAAATCTGCAGTACCTGGTGTAGAACTATAGCTTATTCTGCTCTTTTGATAGGTTGTTGAAGATTTTACCTGTCGTTTGGGGCAGTGAAAGGCATGCATTGGTGGTGACGCTCATAGCAGAGGTAGAAAACAACCACAGCCTCGCAGACGGGACGTTAGCCAAGCCTATGACTCGTAGCATCTTTCAGAGACCCATGCTGGTGGGTGGAAAAGGTATAAGACTCAGAATGTCTGAATTCTTGTCGTCTGGCACACGCTTTCTGACATCATGTCAGCCAGTCTCCTGAAGCAAATTCCAATGGCAATGGGCATGTCCCGCCAGATCCGACTTTTGTGCAGGAATTGGGACCCAACCTACATGACCCCATTGCAGTCTGGTTCTCAGATGATCTCGGAGAAGTCTTTGAGCTTGGGCAGCATAACTTCAAGCTGAACTCCATGACCTCTTGCTCCAGGCTCGGCACCTACTATGACATCTACTGCTATGCGGACGACGACCTTTGCGTTGGCTGTAAGGTGACAAACGGCGTGTCCTTCAACTATGTGAGTGTCTCGCGCAAGTTTCAGAGCAGCTTTTGATGTTTGGTTCCAGGAATTTTGTTGCAAGAAGAGTGTTTTGCATGAGTGTTTTGGATGTGAAAGGGCAGTCTTAGCCTCTGCAAGTTGTTCAAGCTAGATAGAGGGTCGTGACACAACAGCAGGGGTATCCCAAGCCCTTGCAATGTCGTGCAATGAAAATCTGACACAGAAAAGGAGGCCCAGAAGCTGCAGAACCTGCAGCACCCAAGCGGGGCTGCATAATATCCCAAACCCAAGGCACATCGGCTCGTGAGCTGAAGGTTCGCACCCTGGATCTCACTCCGCCGCAGATGAGGCTGCGGTTCTTTGTTGTGTGTTTGCATATGTTTATGCACCTCGCTCGTGAGTGTGAGCGATGTCCGACAGCTCGACAGCCCATGTACTGTGTGAATTGTACAGCTTCACATGCTTTCTACTTTGCAGCTGCCAGGTTCATAGCTGCGGAGTCAATAGCTCGCGACCAGATCATCATCACGCTGCAGGTAGGAGGGCTAAGTCATGGGTTGCCTTTGGCTAGCTGGGAGAGAGCCTCGTGGGCTTCAGCCAGGTGGATGAGGGTGCCAAAGTGTGGTGTGCAGCCTGGGACACAGACCCGTCACTGGTCTCCGCCGGCCAGGACTGGGTTGGCAATCCGGTGCTTCAGGGCTTCGAAATGCTCTCGCGAGCAAGTACTTTACTTGTGGTTGGCAACATAGCTAGCTCTGCAGCACAATTCAATATGAGATAGCTTCTGTGTTGTGTCTGTGCTGTTCTGCGCTTTGCCAGAACTACGTCACGCAGATCAAGTCCAAGGCATCTGATTGCAGCTTGGCTGATTGATGCCAGAAAGATGCCAGTGCTCACCCGCCCGAGCCAAGCCCCAGCCGAGGCGCTGACAGCTTTGGTAACCAGTGTGGGACGTTCTGGATCTACGACATGGATGCCTTGCCTGCACTTGAAGTCTGTGTCTGTCCTCTTGCGCTAGTCACTACAAGTAGGAAGTACTTGACGTTGGAAAGAGGGTGCGTGCACCAGCTGATAGCAAAGTATGTCTAGAACTCGAGGCCCAATGTATGGCATGCATTTTTGTTCGCAAAGGGCATCAATTAGGCCCAGCAGCAAAGCTTCCATGCTGAGGACGATATAGTTGACGTCATCAATGCTGCAGATGGCGTTACCACTCGTGCTGAATATGAGGCTTGTCAGGGAACTGTGCAACATTGCTGCAAAACCAGCAACTAAAGATGACATAACTTTGAAGGAATTGGTCCTTTGGGCCTTCCATGCTGATATTTGGAGGCCACGACGTGGAAGTACAATCGGGATGTCGACATCATCCTCAGTGGCCTGAACGAAGAGACAGACTATCCGTACATCTACTGCTATGCCGAGGCTTGTGTAAAGAGATGCGGTGGCAGAGCTGTCAATTTGCCAAGCCTTTGTGTGTATTTCTGGTTCTCCTTCGACTGCGTGTGTGCTCGGGGCAACAGGATGATGAGCTGACACCGAACGCAATGATCTTCGACAATTCTGGAAACTCCGGACCCAGGAGTGCTGCTGAAGCTCGTGGGATTTTTGCGAGGTTCTAGGCCACATAGGCCACCTGTTTGCTACCTGGTCTGAGTCCATCCAAGTCGAAAATGCGCATGTGTGTCTGTTCCAAGAAGCGTGCTAGGAATGTCTACACGATGTGGACCGAAATCGGCACTATCCGCACTCTGGATGCCTTGGCCCCGGGGGCATGACATTTCTGCGGACGTCCGTTTCATCTTGCCTCTGTGGCCACATTGACCATATGAGCGACGACCTAAATTTCCGTCTCTTGAACCATGTCTAACGTCGGTCAGAATTCCCCGAAATCATGCGTTTAACCTGTAAAATGAGATGGTGCCCCCCAAATAACGAGATCAGCATGGTTGTGTTTGAATGCAAATTTGTTGGAAAACGATATTCAAGGCCGGACTCCAGTGCTGTAAACCGAGATAATGAGTAGTAGGTTTGGAGAGTTGGTCTCAAGCCTAGTGGGAACGAGATGGTCCCCCCCAACATGCTCCGGAATATGTAAAACGAGATGGAACGCGATTGCAGCACGAGCATGGGAATTTTGACCATAGGCCAGACAACAAATTTTGTCCGCTGCTCATATTCTATTTGCGAGGAAGTGGATGCTCTGGCTTCTGTCAAGCAATGGAAACTTCCCAGTATTTGCCTATGATCGTGCCCAGAAACGGTAGGCGAATTGCCAAGACCTGAAGATGCAAAAGCAAAGAGAATCCCGTCAAGGAGACACCGCCTAGCTTCGTCAAGCTGGCCATCACGGACCCCACAGCCACGAGCGACCAGATTGTTGCACCTGGGCTTGACTTGCTCTTGTGTCTGAATCATTGCGCTTTGTGGTGGTGTGTCTTGCCTGGCAAGGTCACCTTCGCGCTCAACGAGCCTGGGACGGCCTACTGCCGCGCCACGCTCTCCACCTCAGGAGATGCCTCAGCTGCATTTGTCTGTTATGCTCATAAAGAGTGGCCCACAGTGGCCCGCCCAAAATCGCCCGACAGGAGAGACCACTTTGCGCATCAACCAGATCCTCTCAGCCAACTTTGCAGCCATCGTCGCAGGCCGGATCCAAGAAACATGGGGGGCTCTCTGACTGAAACGATTGAAGTGTGCTGTGAGCCTAGTGTGGGTATTGTAGAAGATCAACTGCACGTTCACGACATGGAGCAGCTTGCATACCCTGGGTTTGCAGCCTAAGCAACTGTAGACTCTAAGATGGCAGCATACTTTTGAGCTGGTCCATCCTCCTGACAAACCCGAGCTGAGAATCCACTTGCTTGACCACATGCATGAATCTGCATCAGGCGCAAATGTCGACGCCGACATCACAATTGACAAGATCGAAGCAAGCGACACGTGCCTTCGGCAAAATCCATGAATTCGGTACATATGCGGGACATTTCATTGTTCTCTTCTGATAGATGGTTGAGACACCCAACTAGTTAGCTCGTCTGCACTGTCCTGAGCGTGAAGCTGCAAGGGCTGCGGACAGTGCACAATAACGTAAGCCCAAGTCTCTGCAGTTGTTCTTGAGGCAAGGGCTTTACGAAGGCAACCAGTACGACGTCTACTGCTGGGCAAAGGACCTATTGAAAGTGAAGTCGTTCTAGGCTCCACGATTCTGGCCTTTTATTGAGGCATGTGTGGAGTTTTGGCTTGTGCCTTCTGTTGCGTGGCAATTTTTGCAGCAAGCTGGCGCCGCAGCAGAGATGGAACGCCTAGAGAGCAGTCCAGGGACGACATGGGATGCAACAGTTAGGTACAGGGGGCGTTGCTGCATGTTTTGCTGAAGGACAGCGCTGTCGACACGTATGGGCATCCCCGTCCCAACTATATGTCACAGGCGGCAACGTAGTGAAGTTGTGTCCAGGACAGAATGTAGAAGTTGCTGCAAAGTTCAGCCAGAAGCTAGACCACTGCATGAGCCAAGAGTCCAGTTCTTACCAGCTCAAAGCATGTTTGATTCGTGTTGCCAGAGCTACGTGGACACCGATGTGGGAAGCAACTTCATGACCAGTCCAGCCGGAGGGAGAACGCGTAGGGCCCCAAGCGATTCTTGCCACGACTCTCCTTCGACCCTGCAAAACAACAGCCAGGAGTTGACGTTTGCATTCGCGTTTCTAGCATCTCAGTCTGTGCACAGTGCAGCTCAAACGAGACGGGGGCATGGAGAAGAAGCTCTGTTTTTTCCAGCATTGAAGCAGGGGGCTGCCCAACTGATCCAAGCTTGGGAGGTGATGCTTTCTTCAGTGTGCTGAGGCTACGTCTGGCTCAAGGACACAACACCGCCAACGCTCATTTACGTCACTTCGGAGGCTGGTGGCAATGTGTTTCTTACGCTCTGCCAAGATAAAGATCTAAGCCTTTTCCACGCTTATGCCACAGCAGAGGCCGCAGGTTAGACATGCAACCCTCTGCTGCTGGGGTTCTGGGCATGGCCGTCAGTCATTTTCTAGGCCATACTCATACAAGGTCCTATATCTTCACATTTTGCCTTGTAGGGTTTCTCGAACCTTCGTGCAAACAAGCTTAAGCTACCATGCAAGTGTGTTCTTCTGCGCTTCCGTGCGTCATTATATACATTATGCCTTCTGCGATTTTCACATTTTCAGAGCTTTGCATGCTGACATGGCTGTTGTCTCTCTCCGTGTGCACAAGATGCTGTGTTTTTGTGATAACACAAGTGCCAATCTTACATAGGCTCCACATTCATATACGTTCATGTATTCACATTCAAGCCTCAAAAGCAAGGCCGGGCGCGGTAGCATTTGCCACCAGCGCAAAGCCCTCTTGACCTCAGAATCCTGAGAATCGTGGCAAAGGCAATCACAGACAGCAAGCTCCACATCACGCTGCAGTTGGATGAGCCGGGGGCCTTTTTGCTGGGTGGTATCTGTTTGGAAGGAGGGTAGCAGTCATTTGATACACACCTGGTGTACAGCAGCGGAAGGCGTGTCCCATGCTCGAGGATCTCTAAACCCTTAGGCCAAATTGAGGTTTTTTCTTTCTGCTTAGTGCTCCTGTGATTGACCTCCAGATGCTCCCGGATCTCCGGCCTTCTAAGCCCCTGAAGACTAGGCCAGGCTTTGCCCACATCCATCGGGACCCCAGTTGAAGCCCAATTGTAAGTTGAGCTCTGAATCTGCAATCTTCTTTGCCGACAGGCCCGGAACGGTCTGGTGCCAGCCTGCCCTTCCAACAACCGACGCTACCAACTTGGACGTCTTGGATGTGGACGCGGGGCCCCCGGCTTGAACTCTGGTCTTAACATTCGTCGTGGAATGCCTTGGAGATCAACCCGCTAAACGCGTCGCTGCCGGCGTGCTTACTTAAGTGTTCCCGATCCTCTGGCATCCCGAAGGGAAGCAGCAGCAATTTTTTGCTCATGGCACCGCACGACTTGACAGAAGCTTCGACACAGTTGGCATAGCAACAGGCTGGAAACTACATCACAAAGATCAGGGGCGCGCGACGAACTCAGCTGCTTCCTTTGGTGTGCAGGTGGCCTTGACGGCGTGTAGTTGATTTTGATGTCCTGTGCATAATATCCTGTGAATCTGTCACCTTGCAGATCAGCGAGGAACACGCAATTCATGCAGTATGTGCACTTGCCCTACCGCAATGTTGACGTGGAGGCGCACCAGGGCCCAGCAAATTCTTGTGGAATTAGGATGCCATTGAAAGGTGGACATGGTGGACAACGACGTGGAAGCCCAAGACGAGCACCTGAAGAGTTGGGGGATGTGAGGGTACAAAGGCTGCACATGGCTGGCTCGGCTTGGGAGCCAGCTGTGTCCCAAGCCGAGCCAGCTATGCACTATTTCTTCGACAAAGCTGTGGTTCTACGCAAGGATTCGCAAGGTATCTAGAGCAGGCTGGTTTACGAAAAGGACTCGCATAGCAAGAGTTGCAACTTGAGGCTGGGACGGCTTCGTCCCTGCTTCTCAGCGAGTCGCCAGTAACCGAGCTGTTATCTTTGATTGCTCTTCAGCCGTCATAGGCGCAGGAAGCTCATCGAGGCCAAGGAACAAGTCCAGGCTCAACAACTTTTCACACCGCTGGACTTGAGGCAACTCTTTGATTGATGGTAAGCTCTGCCTTGGGATCGTCGTACCTCACATGTAGATCGGCCTCCTGCATGATCGTCGTACCTCACATGTAGATCGGCCTCCTGCATGCATCCTGCATGCATCCCTCTGAGGATTCAGGGCTATTCGTCCTTGAGGGGGCAATTGACGTTCACCTTCGGCGTATGCTGGCCAGATAAGGCCATACAACGTTTTCTGCTTTGCGGAAGATGCCGCGCGCCTACCTGCAGTCTGCAGCTGCTGAGTTCGACAGTGCTGGCGGCATGCAACCAGCTTTTTTGCGTGTTGTAGCTGACTCTCGAATCAAAAGTATGCCGCCTGATGCATTATTTCATTTTGATGGTCAAAAAATAATGGCACAACATTGGAATCGCTGCCAGCAAGTGCTGGGGCGGCTTCCTATCCGTAAATTAATTCTTTAGCGGCCAAGGACTGGAAGCTGGAGACTCAAAACTCAGGCCTCTGCAAAATCATGAAGCTTTTGCATGGAGGAGTTGACACAGTCTTGCCGAGACGCAGATCAAGTCATTCAAAGCTTGAGTGCCCTAGCACTTCTTGTGGTTTTGTAGTTCCACCGCTGTCCCTTTTGCATGCTGTCTTTTGCGCTGCTGCGCAGTTGACAAATCCCCCAACTGGCTGCTGGCGAACGCTGCTACGCCGAACATGACCGTTGGAGCCGGACTCAACAGGTATGGTCTGTGGTAGGTCCAGGGCAGCTGGCAGAACATGGCAAATACGCGAGACTTTTCGAGGGGCACAGGCTGGGTTCTAGAGGCATTGGCAAGCAAGGCATCAAGCCGTTGCCATAGCTGAAGTTGTGCATGATAATGAACATCATGATCATCATCAGCAGCTCCCTGAACGATCCTGAACGTCATTGTGCTGTCATACTCTAGCTGCTAGCGGCTTCAGCCAGAGGCTGAACAGGGGTCGGAGATGGCCAAATTGAAGCCATCCAGGGGAGAGTCCTGCTCGTTGCTCTGAGGAAACGGCAACGAGGTGTCCTTCCAAGCCGTCGATGACTTCATGACGGCCGTGGGGCAGGCCACTGACCGAGTTGCGAGGATTTTGTCAAATTGCTTGTCATGATGGTAGATGTCTTG